CTGCCTCCACCTCCTAAATGCTGGGACTGAAGGCGTGCGCCACCACCGCCCAGCAAGAGATTTTAATATCCTTCAGAGGCAACCTGGGGACCCAATGTTCAGTCATCAAATAGAGTCAAAGCCTCCAGCTGTGCTGTGCTGCGGCTGCTGCTGTCCCTGAACGGCCACAGCCCTGCTAGGGGTTCTGGTCCCTTCCCCCTTGGAGATCAATCGACATCCAGCTTCTGCCAGCCTGGTGGGTTTCCCAGACAGCTACCTACCGTCTGGATTCTTCCCCAACACTCAGAGTCAACACTGACTCTGCAGAGGCTTCCTATTTGCCTCTATTCCAACTGCCAGACTTAGCTCTGGACTCAAAAATTACATGGGCACAATGCCACATGCTTTCTGTTGTCTACCTTTGCAGACCTTTGCTCGTGCAGGTGTTCCCGGGCTGGGCTGCCCTAGTCACGTTGCTATGGCACCCACCACAGGCTCTGATGTTCTTCCCATCCCTTTGGGCTGTCCTGATCACACCACATGGTCTGTAGGTCCCTCCCAGCTTGCTGGGCAAGGACATCACCCAGTGCTGGGCTACGGCCCAGAGCTCCATTCCCCTGCCCTGGCCCTCAGCCAGAAATGCTCACAAAGATAGAAAGGATTTGTAAGATGCTGCAGCGGTACAATGTGAAGTGTGGGCTGATTATACACTGAGAATTCGTTCTAAATCAAGGGCGTAAAGAGTCACAGTTCTTAGATTTTAAAAAGGGAAGCTACTTATGCTGGTTTTCCCCCTTTTTCTCTTTCTTTCTTTCTTTTTCTTTCTTTCTTTCTTTCTTCCTTCCTTCCTTCCTTCCTTCCTTCCTTTCTCTCTCTCTCTCTCTCTCTCTCTCTCTCTCTCTCTCTCTATCTCTATCTCTCTCTGTCAACTTGACATAAGCTGGAGTTATCTGGGAAAAGGAAGCCTCAATTGAGGAACTGCCTCCATCAGATTGGCTTTTAAATCTGTGGGGTAATTTCCTGGCTGAAGTGGAGGGCCTTGCTAGGCAGGTGGTCCTGGGTTATGTAAGGCAAAGTGAGCAAGCAGGTCACGAGAGCAAGCCAGTAAGCAGTGCCCCTCCCTCCATGTTCTCTGCTCCCGTTCCCCGCATGCGGGTTCCTGCATCCGGGTTCCCGCCTTGACTCCTTGCATTGGCTTCCTTCAGTGATGGGCTGTGAGCTGTAAGGTGAGATGAACCTTTCCCCCTCTAAGCTATGTTTAGTCATGGTCTTTACTGCAGCAATAGAAACCAAGTTAATATACCACTGCAAAGAAATGTACTGAATCTGGCTATATGCATAATTTTGTAAGTTGACTTCTTTTGGAGTGGAAACACTTATTGAATAAATGCCTAAAATGGGCCTTGTGGTGCTCCCAGCAAGGGAACCACTCATCCTGGCTACCAGATTTGACCATAGTGACCACACTAACAGAGGGCTATATATCTTCTGGACAGTGGTTTTTTAATTCTATAGTTCCAATACCACACCACCCATCAACACCAAGGTTATCTGCCACCCTAACAGCAATGAATGTAAATGGTACTTGATGGTATTGGGTGGGCAGGAGTCAGGAAGCCTCGATGTCACCACACAGCCCTGCGGTTCTTCTGTCTTGCTGCCCACCTCACACTCCACCCTCATATCACAGCACTCGGGAAAACACTAAAGTCATAGCTAAAATTCAGTCATGACGATGGCGACCAAGACAAGCGTTAACCGACAGTTAACTAGTATTGAAAATGCTGTGCTGGCCACATTGTCTACAGGAGTTATCTCAAGACCTCCCTGATGGGGAAGTACCATTGTCACTGTCCCACCTACACATTGGCAAACAGTAACTAAGCGGCCTTGCTAACATCACTGGACAACCAGGTCTAGGCACACACTACACCACCCTCGAGAGTCACAACAGCTCTGGGCTCCTCATCTGAGATACAGTGAGAGAGATGTCCTTGCCTGAGAGAGAGAGAGAGAGAGAGAGAGAGAGAGAGAGAGAGAGAGAGAGAGAGAAGAAGAAGAAGAAGAAGAAGAAGAAGAAGAAGAAGAAGGGAGGGGAGGGGAGAGAGGAAGGGGAGGGGGTCAAGTTCTGGAGTACTGAACACATTCCCAGATGGCAGGCGCTGCTCTTGTGCTTTCCAGATACATGTGAGCATTTCTTCTTCATCAGCTAAGCCCAGTTATCCCTGGTGCGCAAGAGTCGCTGGCAATGGTTTTTTTGTTTGTTTGTTTGCTTTTGTTTTTCTATTTTTAACTAAATACTTATTACAATATATTATGAATTACATAAGTCTTTCCTGGCCAGTCTTATCTCAGTCTGTGTGATGAATGGGTAGAAATGGAAGTTAAATCGAATATAATTCACTTGTCAGGTACCTCACTCAAAATACTTGAGGGTCAGATAATCTCTGGATGGAAGAACTGGCTTATTGTTATTATTGTAGAAAAAAGCGCCGCGGAACAACAACAACCCTCAAGAATCCTACGAAGAACAGCAGGACAACAAACAAACAAAAAAAAGCCGCCCGTCGCCACCAAACTGCGGGGAAAAAAGGGCAACACCACAACACCCAACAACAGATGACTTTTTTCTTCTTTGTTGTTGTTGTTGTTGTTGTTTTTCGAGACAGGGTTTCTCTGTGTAACTTTGTGCCTTTCCTGGAACTCGCTTTGTAGACCAGGCTGGCCTCAAACTCACAGAGATCTGCCTGCCTCTGCCTCCCGAGTGCTGGGATTAAAGGTGTGCACCACCACCGCCCAGCAAGAGCCAATTTCTAAATCAGTTGTTTAGAAGCAGAAGCATACTTTCCTTCTCCTACGTATATATTACATCAGAGAAATGAGATTCCAAAGCTAACCAATGTATAGCCTCTTGAAGCAACCTGCAAAACTCATTTCTTCCCTTTCAATGTTCCCAAGCTGTATTAGAGCAAAGGTTCCTGGAATTGGAGACAGAAGTCAGCAGCAAACATCCCAGCCCTCTGGTCCTACCATACCAAGGCCCTAGAGATGATGTGATGATCTGAGGCCCGAGAGGGCAGAGACTTTGCTTTTAGTCCAGCCACTGAAAAACGTGGTACCCAGGGAGGTCTCTGCAAAGGAACGGGGAGCTTGGTTTGGATTCACATCTTCCACTCACTGGCATATGTCCTGTCCCTCTAGTTTCTGACCTGACAGGGGCTGGTCTGGGCTTTGAACACAATGACTCCAAATTTGGGAACTTTTGAATTTGTCAAAGAAATGAAGCTGCCTGCTTGGAAAGCCATCCTCAGGAACCCATGGCCCAGACTCTTTCCAGCTAGGAAGCTGTAGGTCTAATCACGAGAGCCAGGGTGTTGCTCATTGGTTTCTGTCACTATCATGGTTCTAGGATGACATTTTCAGGTTGTCAGGCACTAAAGTGCCAACGTTTAGTTGTTTTCATTTTAAGAAACACCCTAACAAAAACAGGTATGTTCTCAGGGTGAGGTATGAGTGACATGTGTGATGACAAAGTGCAGCTAACTTCCGTGTAGGGACAAGAAGGTTGTCGGTTCCTGAGTAGCTCTGCTCCCATTTCCCCAAGAAGTGACTACCTCTCCTCCTACCTCGTCCCTGTTCTACAGAGAAGGTGTTCAGTGAAAGCTCAGCTTTCCCACAGATACTGTCTGCAGCATGCCCATGCCAGACTCCCAGGACATAACTGCAGCATTTCCACTTCCCCAAATCTTCAAACTCATCTTCCCCACACTGTCTACGGTCTGAAGCAGTCATCCCTCTCCATGACATGTGTCTAGCTTGTCTTTGGGAGATCTCTGGCCGTGCCTTCCCAGAGGAAGGTTTCCCTAGCTCCCGAGACACAACCTGAATCTCCCTCTGTGTTCTCAAGCCTGTCTTCCTCTATTTGGATCCCTTGGCCACCCTATTTGTTACCGTTTACTTACTGCCTTCCGCTCAGGCTATCACACCATGGGACTAAGGCTTTTGTCCGATCAAGTCACTCTTGTATCCCCACCCTCCAGGGCAGTTCTTGACACATAACAAGTTTTTGATGAATGATGCTGAAGATATATACAGTGGGTTAATGGGGAGACTAATGTTCCTAAGATTACTTATCAATACCACGGGCTCTAGAACCCCACATCCCCATGTGACCCAGTGCTCACCGATTCTTGCCAGGATCACACCTGAGGAGAGCAAGATGATAGAGATGTAAGAGTCAGGCTGCTCAGGGTCCTGCTGGCCATCAAACAAGACTGTACTATTGGTCCAGTGGATAGGAGAGCAGTCGGGGAAGATGGGTTGATTTAGATTTCTTTCAAAGGTGTAAACATGTGCCTGGTCATCTTTTAGCATCTCATGATTTGAAGAAGAATTCTTGCTTCATGGGAGGGAGAAGGTAGCCATATCAAAAGGACTTCCAGGAGCAAAGACAGAAAACACACAGAGTGTTAGGCTACCTAAATGGAGCCAACTGGAAATGATCCCTGTGGTGACCAAGCCATAATGCTTTCAGAGCCAGGTAAAGAGAATTGTTCCCATGAGGCCAGACAGCTGAAAGGGCTGTGAGGATGCTGAGGAGGGAGCCTCCAATGCCCTGGGTGTAGGCATAGCCTGTGATGATGCAGTCAATGCCCAGAACTGTCATGTAGAGGAAAGCCAAACCTAAGCCAGCCAGGAAGACAGTTTGTCGGCAGTACATTTCCCGTCCCTCCCGGCATGTGTGGAGCAGCCTGCGGGTGTCCTGCAGGCAGTGAAGAAGCCCTTTGGTTGTGGCTGCTTGTTCTTTAAGGATGAAATTGTGGTCCTTTGGTTTTTCCAGAGTTCTGGATGTGTTGATGGATCTGTTCGTGGTTTCCAAAAACTCCGTTTCACCTAAAATAAAATTCAGACAAGCTTAAACTCAATACACAACAATCTCCCTTAGTTGTCCATCCCAGACTCCTCTGCTTCCATGTTGGACAGTTCCTATGCATACCCCCAGCTTCCCTTCCTCAGGCACCTGGGACTTGCTGCAGGTGCAGGAATATGAGTGGTATTCTCTAAGTTCTCTAGAGAACAAATCTCACCAAGGAGTGACAGAAGTTGCTGGACCAACACTCCCATCTTCTTGGCCTTTAGTGGGACGATCCTGAGGTACATCCTACATAGCATCTCTGTATGAGCTTTTCTCCCTGCCCTTTCCTGTCTCACTTCCCTTCACTCTCCCTCCTTCCTGGATCACATTCTAAACAGAGTACTTGTCACCCTGGAGTCTTGTCTCGAGATGTGCTCAGGAGAGAACGAAGCTAAGACCCAGAGGGCAGGCAGGGGAAGTGAAAGGCTGCTTCAGGGAGTGGAAGACAGACTGTCACATGCTGGAAGTGTGGGGACGAGCTCCTGGAAGCTGCTGTGGGTGCTTACTTGGTTACTCTTTCTAAAGAGGTAGATACTTGAGGAGGTAGATCAGAAATGCACAACTATTTGAGAATGAAGTCAAGTCCTATAGAGGTGTAGAGGAGTCTCGTAGGGCTCTGAAGGAAGGAGAGGGCTGGGGGAACAAATAACAGGACAAGAGGTGGGAGCTTTCCATCATACAAGAGAACTTACTGCCAGGTAACTAGAAACAAAGGTGATGATAAACCGACAGCTGTGGAAATACAGCCAACACTGACTTCAGTCTTCCTGTGTGGGAGGGGATAAAACTAGGCTTTGCATAGACAACCCTACTTAATCCTCACAGTGTCCTGGTGAAATTAGTTCTGGTAATTGTTCTTACTTTGCAGAGAGGCAGAGAATATGAAATGAAGTAACCTTGAAAGCTCAGACAGGCATCTCAGAGGAGATGGGAAGGACGCACCCCATCTATTGATCTACTGCTTATGTATCTACCCACCCATCCATTCATCATCTAAATATCACCTCTATATATTTATCTCTCCAAATGCATGCATTTCATTCATGAATCTGATTTAGTGGTCTTTATCTAAAAACTAACTTGAGAAAAATGAGTGCTAAATCATAAACCTGTAAGAGAACTGAGTCAACCAGGCAGATGGGTGACTTTGTCGTAGGTGAAGATGGCTCTTACTTGAGGAGAGTGAGGTCGTATCTACTGACATGCCTCTGCTCCTGTTCATCCCCATATACTTAGAAATTTCTAATTTTAAACAAACCCTGCAGGAATACACTCTATTATCTTGATCAAAGGGTAGCCCATACTCCTTGACACATTTGCATCTCTTAAGTTTAGGAGCATTGGGAAAGGTGTTCATCAGCAAGATGGAAAGGAGTTATTTGTCTCCCAAGATGCTGGGACAGACTGTGCAGGTTGTATCCTGAATTCCCACAGGGGGTGCTACTTATACTCGACCTTCTCTCAGTGGAGTCCCTGAAGTTAAACACAATCTAGTTAACTGTACAAAGTAACCCTGCCCCTGCCCCACCAATGTGGTCAAGTCATATGAACTTCATGACCTCTCGTTTATTACTGTTCTTAGGTACAACTGCAAACAAAATATTAAGACTGTGGTTAGACATATGGTCTGGAAAGAAGAAATGAAACACTAACAAGAGCTCCCTCTGAGTTCACCTTACCTTGGATGTGCACAGCTTCCTGCTGCCTCTCTAGGAAGCAGCCCGCTGTGTGCCGCTGGGGTTTCACAGCCAACTGGGGAACTAGTTGATAAACCCTGGACAGAAATAGAAACTCTACAAGAAGTGAAACCAAGTTCCATCCAAGAATGAAACCACAACCAATCACATGAGATGCCCACGTCATCACCTGGCCCACGGACAGGGGCGCGAATATACTGATGACCTGGTCCAGCCACTGCACTGCTGGGAGTGCGCATTCATCCCTGCAAGGGAGAGGAGGAGACACTGAGACTCGGTGGATGGATGCCTCCTTCCTTCTGCTGAACTTGACAGCTGTTCTTGACAGCCAACCCAGAGTCAATGACGGCAGGTTGTCTGCAGATTAGCGATGGCCTTTTCAACCCGGAAAACAACTGCAAGACCAGCTGTAGTGGAATGTGAACAGATTAGTAAAATGACCAGGCTACCCATGGTCTTGACTATGCTAATCATAGTAATGGCCACTAATTAACAACCAGCACAGTGGTGGGGGAAGGGAGGTAACGGGAGGGTAGAGGAGAATGGCTTGAATTCTTACGTTGTACCCGCCATACAGTCTCAAACCTTATACCTACACTCATCTCTGTGAGTCCTCACAGTTCTAAGAAGGCAATGGTACTTCCATTTTACAAGTTACAAAACTGAGGCACGCAGAGGGGAAACTCTTTTCTCAAGATTGCAGAGAAAGAACATTATGGAGCCGAGACTCAAAGTCCAGCCAGTCTGACTCCAAAGCTCATGGATTCTACCACCATTGAAGAAAATATTCACAAGTTCATCTTCAAACTTGTAATAGACTTGAGTCCAAATCTGCTTTGCCTTGAGGTCTTTTAAAATGAATGCACAGAGAACAGGAAAGTTTTCCTGACACCAAGACAGAGGACGCACTGAACTATCACCTGGCCTTTATTCACACAGCTCTTATTCTGGGTGATGTTACAGAAGCCACAGTACATCCAAGTGAGTGCAGTTTAAAAGAAAACATGATGATAAGGGCTTTGACTCTTCAAGGAGTGTATTTTAGACTCCTTAATAGTGCCCTTTATCTTGGCCATCAACACTCAGGCACTACAACTGCTCAAGTATAGGGTATTGTGAGATCTTCAGCTCTAAGTGGGCAATTAGAACACGCTGCAATGAGAGCTGTGCATGCTTTGTAAATGGGAGGAAAAGACAAGATGTCAGGCCGCTCCTTCCCACTACTTTACTAGAAGACGAATTCCGGCTTCCGCTATCAGCAGTAATCAATGTTCCCACTTGGGATAATTTGGGGGTGGGGCAGAAGGTTATTACTGATGTGAATTTAGAAATCTTTTCATTCACTTACTGTCTAGGTCTAAAATGGCTCCAGAGCATCTGTAAATGAGAAGCTGCCCTCCCGACCCACCATCTACCTGTGCGTAAGGTGAGAACAGTGATGGTCATTTCTTGGGTGTTCCTTCTGTGCAGATTTGTGCTAAGCACTTACAAAATCCTGATTTCATGAACTCCTTCCTTCCCCAAAGTGAGCTCAGAGAGAATGAATGTGTATGTGGACATGCATGCATGTAAGTGTGTGTGTGTGTGGTGTGTGTGTGTGTGTGTGTGTGTGTGTGTGTGTGTGTGTGTGTGTGTATTTGCCCCATGCTGCAGATGAGGAAAGTCGAGTTCAGAGAGGTTAAGTAACTTGCCCCAGGACACACAGCTGGTAAGAGAGATATCGGGTTTCAGCTGAAGTTAATCCCAGCTCTGGTTGGTTCCAAATTCCTGTCTTCTATAGGCTATGATATGGCCTCTCCGGAGCCCTGAATGGCTCACCACTCTACTTCTCTGCCCATCAGAGGGCTGGTGAGGGTGGCACTGCTCACCAGCCAGCTGGCCTCTGCTGTCCCTCATGAGGCTCACAAATTCAGTCCCTCTGAATGGTGATAGTAAGTGCAGTGCCAGCCAGGTTTGCCACAGCCGCTATGGTAATCACCACAGCATAGCAGACCACCTACCAGAGGAGGGAAGAAGAGGCCAGGAATAGACCTTCCGGCCCAGGGTGGAACACGGTCATTTGTCTGACAGCCAGAGAGAGGAGCATAGAAATGAACCCTCTGAGAGGAAATGAAACCTTTGAGGGGAAAAGGCTCTGTGTTAAGTCGAAGCCAAGTGCACGTTCTTCCTCTCTCCCGTCAGCACCAGATGCGATGCTAATTTGTACCTTGCAGACAGACGCTGCGGCTCTACTGCCACGCTCGCTCGCTCGCTGTGGGGTTTGGGCTCCAACTCAGAAACCAGGGGCCACGAGGGCACTGATGAAGGGGCACAGTGGGGCAGCTCGGCAGAGAGCGCCTCCCAGCAGACACTTGGGGGTGTTGATAACATGCACTCTCGTGAGGCAGGTGTCAGAGGGGAGACACTCACAGCCAGCCAGCCAGCCATGCCGGAGGTGCTCCATCTCCCTCCTGTAGGAGAACACCAGCATCAGGACCACACAGCAGGCAGCGACGGAAGCATTCTGAATGAAGAGCGAGCGAGGCGTGAGCGACTGCAAACGGAAACACACAGGGCCGGCCATTTACTGGTGGTTTTAAGAGGCCGATCACGGCTACCTAGTCACCACGCAACGCAGAGCCATTATGTCTGACCACGTGCTCGTGCCCACCAGGCTCATCATTTCCGTCAGCGACTCCAGGCTTAGGTAGGACTCAAAAGGCAGGCTCCGCGATCGATCGCCAAAGCCTTTGCAACACAATCTGGAAAAACCAGAGCTGAACTTTGCAAGTGAAGGAAGGGACATGCTGGGCAAGAAAGACGATCCAAACAAAAACAAAACAAAACGCACAAACAACAGTCAAAGGCAAAACCAACCAAACAAGACAACAAAACACAAAACCAAGTTCCAGCTGATTTAAATAACTCCAAATTCTATGGCTACCTCGGACTTGCCTGGACTTAATCTCTAATGGAGGCTTATCAATTGGGCCTAAGGAGTAATGCTCGGGTCTTAAAGCAATTGGCTTTTCTATGATCTGTCTCTCCAAATCTGCTGGGTGTGATAAAAACAGCCTTGCTGACTAGTCATCAAAAAAAAAAAAAAAAAAAAAAAAAAAAAAAAAAAACTGCACAGTTTAGCAAGGCCTAGGTTTTTACTGGACAAGGGAGATTTTATGAACATACTATCACTAAACATTAAAGGAGATCTCAATTTGAGCAAATAAGTCTCCTGATGCTGAGGCTAGGTATCTGGTACAGGGGAGATCTTTTACACATAGCAACCGTCTTGACTGAAAATAAACATATGTACTGACTGCATAGGTAACGCTAGAATATTGAGAGAAAACATGCTTTCCAGTAATTCAGTACTAAGAACTTGTACTTGGTAAGAACTAAAACCCTAAGTCTGGTGGTGGTGACAGGTAATCAGAAGGTCTCTCCAGTCCCGCAGCTGTTCGGACCCAAGTAAACATGCAGAGGCTTACATTACTCACAAACTATATGGTCTGTGGCAGGTCTCTTGCTAGCTAGCTCTTGTATCTTAACTTAATCTGTGTGTTGCCCCGTGTTCCATGGCTTACTGGTCTGCTGGCATGTTGTTCCTTGGACAGCAGGCTGGCATCTCTTCTGCCTCTGCCTTTCTTCTTCCTGTCTCTCTCTTGGATTTCCTGCCTGGCTATAACCTGACTCACCGTAGGCCAGAGCAGCTTCTTTATTAACCAATCACAGCAACACATTCACAGCATACAGAAAGACATCCCACAGCAGTGGCACACGCCTTTAATCCCAGCACTAGGGAGGCAGAGGCAGGTGGATCTCTGGTCTACAGAGCAGGTTTCAGGACAGTCAGGGCTACACGGAGAAATCTTGTCTAGGAAACTGAAACAAACAAAACAAACAAGCAAGCAAATAAACAAATATATATATATATATCCCCATTTAAGGACTCAGGTATGTGACAGAGTGCTTGCCCAGCATGTGTGATGCTCTGAGCCTGATGCATAGCACTGCACAATAATCACCAACTAAATCACACCGATGTGTTTAAAATGGAGACACTGAGATGTGACCCAAAGCTGAACAACTCTTTCCATGGAGTTTTTCAGTTAAGCCCCATTGCTGTTCAGCACAGTTTGGTGATTTTATTTCATGATGTAAAGTCCTAAAGCTGGTGAGGTCATAACCTGTCACATGTCACCTGCATCCCAAAGAAAAGTATTACCTTTATTTCTTGGTTTCCTGTCGATCCAGTCACCAATTAAATCCCCAAATATTAACACAGAGCCGGCCACCCCTAAGCCAAACACTGCAGTAAGAAGATTGTGTCCGTAGGGCTCTATCAGGAACACAGACTTAGCAGAGTGCCACATTCCATCTCCCTGGAAGACAGAAAAGGCAAAGCTTTAATCACTGAGAACGGTGGAGGAAAAGTAACTCCAGGAAGATAAGGTTGGGCACGCCAACCTTAAAAACAGAATAGCAAAAGCATACTTTGATGGAGAGCAACTATGACTTTATTTATGCACTGTATTTATGACCTTAAATTTTTTTTTAAATCAAAAGAATAAAAGAACAAATAAGCTAATGAGAAAATATCAAACACTTAGAAGAACAGGAAATCACCACCACCAGGACACCCTGAGAACATCTGTGGATCAAAAGCAACAGGTGAACCAGCCCTGGAGGCCTGTTTGCTTCAGAATATCAGCCGCAAGAAGCACTTGGAAGCACACCCTCAGGGCAAGGCAGGTGAAGGAAAAGCAAGCAATCCTTATGCGGGCTCTCAGTCCAGCTGTCCCTTATCTGCAGGGTCCAGGAGATCTCTCCTTAGACCTGAATTAATCAGCGCTCACCAGCATTATCATTCCCATCAGCAATTTTGGCCTGAGGTCAGGGATAAACAGTTAGCACCCTCCATGCATCTGAGAAGAGACAACTGTAGGCTTTTTGAAAATACCTTAGGCTCCAAAGTATTCTTTTTTTTTTTTTTTTAAATTTATATTTTATGTATGAGTGTTCTGCATGCATACCTGCACACCAGAAGAGGGCATCAGATCTCATTACTGATGGTTGTAAGCCACCATGTAGGTGCCAGGGATTGAACTCAGGACCTCTAGAGGAGCAGCCAGTGCTCTTAACCCCGGAGCCATGTCTCCAGCCCCCAAAGCACTCTTACAGTCATTTTTAAACAGACTGTCTAGCACGTGGTCAAAGACACCCAGTCAGGGAAGGCAAGGGAAACACTGCAAACAAAATCCACAATGAGCAATAACAGAGACAGGCCCACGGAGACCGCACAGAGCTGGGTTATCAGCCACAGGCTGTAAATCGCGGTTATTCTACCAAAAGCAATGCCAACTCTGGCAATCTGAGCAGGGAGTCAGAAAGCATTTAAAACAAACAAACAAATAAATAAATAAACAAAACTTCTAGAGCTGGTCATAGAACAATAGAAGCTAAACTTAAAAGCTCAACTGTTAGCAGCTGGATACGGTGCTGTATACCTGCTGCAAATCCTAGCTCTTAGGAGGCTGAGGCAGGAGGATGGAAGGTAGTAGATTAGATAGAATTCAAGTCAGTTTAACTGTTAATATATCTGAAGAAGCAACTTAGAATGAAGCCCAGAAAGATAAAATGATAAGGAGACGAGAACACAGTAAGGCCAGGTAGAAAGAAAACACAGTACATAACAGACTTAAATAGAGCATT